CCGGCGCCACGCAGGCTGTGGGCCAGGGCAGGCCGTCCCCTCCCTGCCTGTGCCGCCCGCCTCCCGCCGCCGCTCCGCTGGGGCGTTCAGCTCGCTGTTCTGAGAGAGGCATCTCGGGCACCCTCACGGGCCGCTGCCATGTCACTCGTGTCCTCGGCCCTTTACGCAAGGGGAGGGTGACACGCGTCCTCCATGCGCCTCCCCGTTGGGTTCTGGGTCGCGGCGCGCCTTGGCACAGAAGGAGGTGTTGAGCACGGGTTTAAAACCGGCTCTGCTCAGTGGTGTGCCATAAATCCTCGGAGAGAGGGCCTGCCTCAGTCTAGTGGCCTGATGGCCTGGGACCCAGCCTGGCCCAGCCGAGTTATTAAAAGCTGAAAGAGTAGTAACAGGACTAGGAGACGTAAACACGCTCAGTGAGTAGCACCTAGTGGGAGAAGGAGGTTATGGGAGCCTTCACGGGGTGTCCTGAACGATACCGGCATCGCGGATGGGGGGAGAGGTGGTTTTTAGCGTCCGCAGGAAACGGCCCAGAGTGCTGGAATGCGGTGAGGAAGGGGTGACGTGCAGCTGGGAGAAAAGTACCCGGGTGGCAGGGGGAAGGAGGTGGAGGAAGAACTGTTTCTGTTAGGAAGAGCTGTTTCAAAAGAAGTGCTCTTGAAAATGAAAATGGTCTCTTGTGAGACATACGCAACTAAATTAGACAACACGCTAGTGGCTTCGGTAGGGCCAGGTTCCGTGCTAAACCAGGTAGACATACTGGAAATGATGCCTTAGATATATAATTGTACCTGTAGTAATATCTGAAGAGGTAAATAGTGCTCAGTAATGTAGAGTTTTGTAGTTCTGTAAGATACCGTAAAAATACATTTTGCAGCAAGAAAACAAGTCTCTACCTGCTAAGTAGTGAATTACAGGGTAGGTTCGGTTTAGGATCTTTTCCATCTTAGTAATGAAGTATAACGAGGATGAGAGATGCGTAGTATTGCTTTTTGATTTAAAAAGTAGCGTGTCTTGAAACATTATTAGGAGGAATGAGAGATCTTCAGACCTTGTTTAATATTATTTTTGATGTGTTTTTTTTAATCCTGTGCTGAATAAAAATGTCGTTTTCACACACTGAAATTTAAGCCAGTTTGAGTTTTCTGTTATGTGTTTTCAGGATTTTGGAAACAATGTACTTTTACACATAATCAAGTTTCATGTATCACTAGTTGAAAAGTGCTATCCTATGTTTGCATAAACTATTTTAAATTTCTGATGGATTAGAAACAAAGTCTCAATCCTTCCCAGCAGTCCCAAATCTATCATTGTTTTATCATCCTTGTAGACTTTGCAGGCAATGCTGCAGGATTGCAGCAGGATTTCATCCAAATGCAGGATTCATGGAACACACTGATTCAATACATTTACTCTCCGTTTTAAAAAGACCAGTAAATGTCGCTTGAATTGCGAGTAGTTTAGCCTTTTTAGCCTTTAAAGCTGATGTATGTTATGTAAGTAGTGCTGCAAACGTAAGACATTTGCTACAATATGTGAAAAAATTACTGGCATAATCCCTCCTTGGAAGAGTTTGTAATGTATGTTTTTATCTTAGTTGGTTTAAAACATGTGATTGCATTTTACTAAGCAATGACAAAACATTGAGGAATACAGTAAGAAATCACAAAAGCATGCTAATATATCTGAGATTAACAAGGCCACAACGGTGAAAAACAGACGCTGCTTTTACTGCCCATGAGGTGGCCTGGCCTGCAGAAGTTCATGTTTTGAAGGAGAAGAATGGAAGGATCTTTCTTGTTTTGAAACAGGAAATCGGTTTTAGAATTAAGGTGCTGCGGAGCAGAGTACACAAACACAGCATCTTCTGTCTGATAGTCAAGAACAGGCTAAGGAGAAGCGTGTGGTTTTCCCTTTAGTGCTGCATGTAACTTGTCCCTTTTCCAAATATCCAAATGACACAAACGAATATCCATTGGCAATAAACATAACATTCTAGTTTTTTTCCCTATCTCTGGTACTCGGTCATTAATCTGCTTTACTGCTGCACATCACAGTTCTGCCTCATGTTTTAGAAGTTGCTCTAAAATTAGTAACTATTACCCTTTGTGGAGTTAAAAGTACGCAGAGGGCTGCTTGACAGTGCTTGCGATCAGTGAAGACGCTTGAGGTGGAGCCTCCTTAGCTTAAAAGCGGAGGGGCCACTGACATGACGCTTTGGGATAGCCCCGAGCGTGTGGCTCGCTTTCCTTTGTGGCCTATAGGGACCTGAGACGTCGGGGTGTGCGGGGGCGCAGGGCAGTGTCCTCCGGGCTCTCGAGGAGGGCAGGGCTCTTGAAGCGCGGGCCTCGTACTTCTGCTGCTTTTCTCCTGACGTGTTTTGAAAGCTCTGGAAGTAGGATGTTCTTTTTCACATCCTGGATTCAAATAAAAATGCAGATAACTTGTTCTAGCTAGCTAAAACGCAGGTTTTAGCCTGTTAGTTGATAAAGCGGGATGAGGCTGTGGGGCATGCGGTACTGTTAAGTTTATGAGGGTGATAGTAACAGGGAATGTGAGAGCTGCTGAAACATGCCTGCTGCCTTGCCGACACGGTCTGCTACAAGGGCTGGACCGACCGTTGATTAAACCCTTGGTACGTCTGGCCCAGCAGAGGTACCTCCCCGAGTGTCTTCCGTTGTATCCTGCCAGCGTGTCCTGCGGGGAAGGTGGTTGAGCAAGAGCCCTGGCCTACGCGCCTTCCTCCATTGATGCGGACACCACGCTGTTTCTGGAAGCCGGGCACCTTGTGTATACGTTTGGGATTGCTGCCTTGGCTTTCTGACCCTAAAGGACATGACTGGTATAGAAAGATACTTCTTTCCTTAATGACATGATCTGGAGCCGGAGACCCTTAACGGAAGCTGCCTATGCATGCTGGATTTTATCCATCACAGAGCGCTGGCTGACATTCGTTCTCAGCAGTCCTTATTTCATACAGTCCTTATTTTTATTAGTGATGATCAATAAGGTGTAGCATCCTTTGCTGTGAAGCTGCATGCCTGTCCACTCCACCCTGAAACTGCCAGCTTGGGAATGGTTTGGATTGGTCTTTGGCAGCAATCCTTGTTCTGTCCCATCACGCTTCACCTCTGCGTTTAAAGGTCAGGCCAGGCAAAACTCTTGTCAGTCCAGCAGTGGGAAGGAGGTCACCATGTACATGATGCGGGGCAGCGGACCAAAGGCACTCATGTCACACAGTGCAGACAGGAACCTGGCTTAGTGACATTTCCAGTGCTTATTTCCTTCATCACATGGAGCACTTTCTTGAGGGGTCTGAACCTACATACAAGGATCTCGTCACTTCTGAAACAATTTGGGCTGTACTCCCTAGAAGAAGGAAGCCATCACACAAATGTGGAATTTCCTACCTTAAGCACCTCTAGGTCATGTAGGTTATTCCTACACCATAAGCTGTTTATGTAGCCTTGTGGAGAAGCAAGCACCTGCAAAAGATGTGACAGCCTGTCCTAAGAAATACATTTAATAGGCAGTATGAATGGTAACCCCTTTAGGTTGATGGCTACCGTAGACCTTTCAGATAACTAATCTTCACTGATAACTAATCTTCATTCAGCATCTCCCTAAGGGTTGCACGCTCTGCCCAGGTAGGTTGTGAAGGCTTTCCTACTGGTCTGTCTGTAGCAGTTCTTACTGGCAAGTGGGGGCTGCTCTGCCTGTTGGTATCAAGCCACTCTCTGCTTTGCTGTTCAGCTCCACACATAGCTTAAACTGTTCCAAGGTGGGCTGCTGACACCAGAGGTGGTCCAGGCCTTCCTCTTCTTTGCTGTGCAATCCTGCCTTCTCCTTTGTACCACCAGCTCTGCCACCTGATGCAGCTGAAAATTAACACTACACGAAAAGCTGATCCTGGCCATTGTTAGGGGAGAAACACACTGGTCTGAGAGCAGTGCAGATTTAGATCAAGTGCCTCAAGAAGTTGCTCTGTTGCGGATGTTGTTTGGTAGGTAGCAGGCCATCGGGTTCCTGGGCTAGTAGTTGAGGCATGCCTCAAGACAAATTTTGGAGATGTCCGGCGGGACTTTTTATCTGTCTTCATGGTCACCCTGAAGCTACTTAAATAGCAGTCAAGCAATAGCAATCGTGGTGACCACGTGCCATTTCGTAAGCTGTGAAAGCAAGGGTACTTAGAATTGCCAGAACTCTGGAAGAAGATGGTTATTCCACTCATGTCCTCAGTTGTCATGAGGGTGTTTGTCCTTCAGGAGGAGGACAGTATGTTATTGGATGCTAGTGTGTAGGAGTTATGTATTATGATAGCTTTTTGGTGGTAAATATTTATCATGACGGCTGTAGAGAGACTGTGCAGTAGGTTATGTCGGAGTAACCACCCGTGTGGGGACGGGGCGGGCACAAAGTGTGTGTGTGCAGGCTGCTGTTGCCAAGGCAGTCAGCAACGACGCTCGTGTAATTGAATAAAGAAAATTACTTTTTTTCCCCCAAACATTAATGCTAATGCAAATTAAATTTCATCTGCAAGACAGTTCTATTCTGGGTTGGCTTTGCTGATTGTTTCTCTAGGTTGACTTTGCCTAGCTTATTCCTAACTGCCTGTACAAATTATCTTTTCAGCTGCAACACGTAAGAGATGTTAATTCAACGTACTCCTCTCAAAGCCAGGGAAACAAGAGCAGACTTCTAATGGCTTTATTTCTTCTGCCCGATCTTTTAATCTGGTTATCTTACTCAGGCACCTGATTCAAAAAGAAAGAGGGGTTTACATTAAAAAAGAACGCTTATATAAAACACAATGGTTATAATTGCAGCTATACTGTTAGATGTAGAGCTACATGTAGAATTTCATGACTTATTAGTAGCCACTGGACTTAAGGATGCTTCTGGCTAAAAATAGGACAGAGTTTTTCTTAATGTTGTGGTTTAACCACAGTTGGCAATTGAGCACCACACAGCCACTCGCTCACTCCCCTGAAAGTGGGATGGGGGAGAAAATCAGAAGACTAAGAGTGAGAAAACTCATGGGTTGAGATAAAAACAGTTTAATAATTGAAATATAATAATAATAATACACAAAGCAAGTGATGCCCAATGCAATTGCTCACCACCCGCTGACTGATGCCCAGCCAGTCCCCGAGCGGCCCCCCCGGCCAGCTTTCCCCCAGTTGATGTACTGAGCATGACGTCACACGGTATGGAATGTCCCTGTGGCCAGTTTGGGTCAGCTGTCCTGGCTGTGCCCCCTCCCCTCCCTGTCCTTGTGCACCTCCAGCCTTCTCAGTCCGTAGAGCATGGGAAGCTGACAAGTGCTTGACTAGTGTAAGCACTACCTAGCAACAACTGAAACATCGGTGTGTTATCAACATTGTTCTCATACTAAATCCAAAACACAGCCCTGTGCCAGCTACTAGGAAGAAAATTAACTCTATCCCAGCCAAAACCAGGAAACTTAACCAGAATTTTTCATATA